AGGCGTAATTACTTGCATATTTTTGAGGAAAAAGCATATGATGTTAGATATAGTAAGCCAAATCTTTGTGAGAGACTGACTAGTTTTTTGTTTTGGAGCAGTTTGAGTGTGTGAAACCACTTCTTCTAGGAAAACAGTGCAATAACAGTTTTGAAAAGCGTTGAATATAAACTAGTTACTATGTTGCAAAACTTGTTGAAAATTATTAGCCAGCTATTGGGTAATGTTTGAAATTTTATTGCTGTAATTTAGGGATCTGAAGAGATTGATTTATTAGGAAGTTATTTTCTGCCTTGATCACGTTGACAAGTATGGTTCTAGATATTTTGTCATCCTGGCTTGATCTGGAGCATCTCCTCTCACTCTAAGGATGGCAGTAGTGATTTAATCCCTATTTGTGAGTAGTAAAGTCTTAACTGGCAGACAATGAGGCAGGAATAAGCACTGTTTGAAGAGCAGTGATACAAAACAGTGTTACTGAATTTCAGGATTTGCTGGAAAAACTACTGATGTAGATAGAGATAGCATTTCCAGCTGTTGATCAGTTAGTCCCCTCCAGTCAGTGTGTGTAGTTAATATTTTTTTTTTTTTTACTGACCATGATTTAATGTATGTACTTAGGCTTGTTTCTTCCTATTGAAGAAGCCTGTAAGTTAACTACACATGCACGAATGATATTTTAATTAAACTATGTCCAGAAAGATCTGAGTATATACTACTACCATATGATACTGTCGATATTTGTTTATTTGGATTTGGTTTGTGGTTTGGTTTTTTTTTTTTTCTTTCCAAGAGTCATGTGTGTTCTTGAATTAGCACTGATAGGTTTTGTGGATAAAGGGAGTGGGATGTAGGTGTCGGTGACTTTTTATTAAACTTCTATTTCCAGTCATTCCTTTTATGCCTCCGTCTGCTGTTTCAAATTTCAGGTTCTGAATTACCCAGTAGTTTTCCCATACATTAATGTGAAACCTACAGTATGAATATTATAATAGCATTAAGTAGTAGAATACATTATTATTTTGTTTTTCACTTTGGAAAAGTAAGCAGACCATTAATTACGGGATTAATGATGGATAAAGCTAGTCTTCATTCCTCATTTAGCTTATGTTCTACACTCTTACCTTATTTAGATCCTTTAGGCTCTAATCACTGGAAGCTGTTTATACTATTGCTATGGCACATAAAATGCGATGTCTTTATTTTTCAACTTGTTTCTCTTCTTTTAGTTTTTTTAAATTAATCCAAAGTGCTTTTCATAGCATTTCAGCCTGAACATGTGTGCAGTTGCTTGTCCAATTTGTGAATACTTCTGGAGAGATCAAGCTGCAACTGTACTATTTGGAACTTAAGAGTGAAGGCGTTACCTAAATAATCATATGGGATTCTATACAAGAAAACAGTCACAGGATCAGAGAGTGATTGAGGTTGGAAGGGACTTGTTGAGGTCGTCTGGTCCAATGCCTTTGCTCAAGCAAGGCCACTTAGAGCCAGTGTCCCGGACCATGTTCAGATGGGTTTTCAGTGTCTTCTAAGATGGACGCTCTGTAATCTCCCTGGGCAGCCTGTTCTAGTGCTTGATCACCCTCACAGTAAAAAAGTGTTTCCAGATGGAGCCTCCTGTGTTTCACTTTGTGCCCATTGTCATTCTTCACACTGAACAGTCCCAGTTTTCTCAGCCTTTCCTCACAGGAGAGATACTCCAGTCCCTTAGTCACCTCTGTGGCCCTCATGTCCACCCATCAGTCTTTTCCATGAGATCCATGGGAAGGTTAGACTTGATGGGCCATTGAGTTACACTGCAGTGGCCTATCAGTCAGTGTTTTAAGAGTGCAGGACTTCTCTACTGTCTCCATTATGGGCTGTTTTATGCGTTTATGTATCTGTGTATTTAATTTAGTACTTTTTCCTCCTCTCATCTGTCTCATATACTGAATAGCCATTAACCAGATATCTTTAGAAAATATGTATGCTTTCATTCAAGATATTGTTACAGTTTTGGCAAATTGCAATCTCTTTTTTCAAAGGGTAGAGGTTGTAGAAGTCTCGAAAGAAAGAACTTACTTGAATCACAATCCAAATATATTGTCAATATTTAAAAATGATGTAGCTGATAATTTTGAAATGATTTATCTTTCTTCCCTTTCCTGAAGGGGGAAACCTTAGGTGATGTAGAAATTTTCTGATATATTCAACGTTATCATACAAAGTGTTCAAAGTGTTAGTAAGGGAACTGAAAGCTGTATTTTTATAATGAAAAGCAACTTGCATTGTTAATAGTGGGAATATAAACAGTCTTACTACTTAGGATACTTGATAATTTACTAGAAATTTTTATTGGATAAACAAAAATTGTCTCACCTTTTCGTATATGACATTCAGCACCTGAGTGCTGAAGAGGTTTCAGATTGGCTGACTCTTTGATTAAACGTGTAAGTTTACCTGTTGACCATAACTGATTTGAGTTTTATTTATTTATTATAATATTTTCTTCCTTTCTTGGTTCTCACAATGGCACTTTGAAATAGTCCACACAAGGAGTACTGGCATAGGTATTCTGGATTCACCTGGAATCCTGTGATGGTTGTCCTTGTTCTGCAGGAAGACTGACTTTCTGTTCTCCTCTCACTATGTACTTGTTTTATGTGATGAGAAGGGAAATGAACTGAACTGGAACTGGGAGATATGGGTGCTCTGAGGTCCTGATTAAGTCCATGAAAATAATTGTGGTGTTAATGTGGGATATATTTGAGAAAAATGCACACTTCCGTTCCTCTCTTTGCACCTGTTTTTTGAAGTGATGTGTAATTTTCTGTTAAAGAAGCAGACACTATTGTCCAAGCTGAACAAATGTGCAGCTCTGCTTTATTGTAGTGTATACTTGATACTGAAGACACGAAACTCTCAACATACTGGCATATATATTCATAGTTAGCCTAGCCCTCATTTCTTTACACTCCAGGTTTTTTAAGGGAACTAAACAATTGTTTAAAACCAAAAGCAAGTACCTAGAACTCGGATTTGCTCAATGTTTGTGAAAGAAACTGCCATCATAGCAAAGCTACTGTTCAGCTGAGTGACAGACCTAGTTGTGGTTGACTAGAAATGCTTCTCAGTTGGCTAATGTTTCACAGAATCGATGATAAAATCATAGAATACCAGGTCGGAAGGGGCCCCAAGTATCATCTGGTCCAACCTTTCTTAGCAAAACCACTGTCTAGACAAAATGGCCCAGCTCCCTGTTCAGCTGAATCTTAAAAGTGTCCAATGTTGGAGAATCCACCATGTCCCTGGGGAGATTACTTCCATTGCTGATTGTTCTCATTGTGAAAAATTTTCCTCTTGTGTCCAATTGGAATCTCCCCAGGAGTAACTTGTACCTGTTAACCCTCGTCTTTTCCATGTGATTCCTTGTAGAAAGGGAATCTCCATCTTCTTTGTAGCCACCCTTTAAATACTGGAACATGGTGATAAGGTCTTCCCTAAGCCTTCTTTTCTCAAGGCTGAGCAAACCTGGTTCTCTTAGCCTGTTGAAATAAAGGGGAAAAAATTTTCCATTTGAATGAGAATTAGAATTGATCTTTTGATTATTATTGAAAGAAATAAAGTTCAGTCAGCATTTGCTAAAAATACTGCTGGTTTTGTTTATGCTGTTTTCTTCAAACATTCAGTATTGAAGAAAAAAGATAAGATTGCTTCAAGTTTCAGTAGATTCCAAACAAACAACTTATTTAGCTTTTGAGAAATCCTCCATCCCAAGTACTGTATTTTCCATGGTTTGATTTGAAGTCATAAACACTGCAGATGCCTTCAAATTTTAAATTTATTTGAAAGTGTCAAGAATAGGAAAATTACATAGACATTTTAGTTTATGTTACTGGCTCTCGTCTTAAGATCAAAAAGCCCTTTAAGAAATGAACTCTGTAGGGTGCTGCTTTTGCTTGGTTTTAGTGACTGTTTTCCTCCTCTTAGTACAATTTCATGTTGTATTCCAAAGTATTTTTCTTCCTCTTTGTTCTCATCCTAAATAAAGTTCCTGTTTCCTCCTCTTCTATTTTATCTAGTTTCACTGCTTCTATTTTTTTTTATTTATTAATTTCTCTTTTCTTTATATATGTTTACCTCCTGGTTATCTGCTCTCATTTTGTGTTCTTCTGGGCTACCTATTCTGATTCTGAAAGGGAAGAACCTGATGAAATGTACACTTTTTCATCCTTTCTGCTTTCTTTTAGGTACTAGAGATCAGTTGAACAGCAACAGATTATTCATTTTTATTTCTCAGAGGGATCAGAATGACTGTGTACTCAGCTACAACTGAATTGCAATGAAGAGGTTGGGTTGGTTGGTTTCGGTGGGGTTTTTTGTTGGGTTTTTTTGTTTGTTTGGGTTTTGTGTGTTTTTTTTGGTGATGGTGTGTGTTAGGGTTTTTTTTTTTTCTTTTGTAACATGAACTGTGGTGTGTATAGAAGGTTATGCTGTGTTTTTAGGTAACCAACAGATAGTGATGTCCCTTGAGGTTGTTACGTTCCGATTGTACCTCTGTTTGAAGAGGCTGTGTTTCTAGTTAGTATTTACGAAGGGTTGTACTTGAAAGGCACTCTTGGTACAACCAGATAGTCTTCAAAGCTGGCTGTTTCTCTCTTTATATTGCCTCATCAATGAGACACTGTTGGACAGCATGTGAAATCTTATCTGGACTTCATAGTATGTTGGAAGTGACAATATTTGTGGTTGTTTGTTTGCCTCTCCAGCTCTTTTAATTCACTTCTTTTCCCTAATTGGTATCTCAGAGATATATGAAGCATCACAACTGTTCCTCTGAAAAAGCCATTTTTATCATGCTTTAGAACATACAGTACATGAGTGATAGAAATTGAACACGACTGCGTGATAAGATTACACTTTCTTTTGCCTGGGGGCATCTGTTAGTGTGTCTCGATATTACAGTGTGTTTGCTTCACAGGGTTAACAGTTTTGTCTTTTCTGTTTTGCATATGTAGCTGGAAGGGCCGTGCGTTCTGCAAATACAGAAAATACGCAATGTTTCTGCACCAAAGGATAACGAAGAATCTCAGGCTGCTCCCAGAATGTTACGTTTACAGATGACTGATGGACACACGAGCTGCACAGCTATAGAATACACTAGCATGTCAAAAATAAGGTGAACAACTTTCTTTTCAAAGTTTTGATACTTAAATATCCTGAAAATAATGGAAATGTCCTTAGTAATATATGGAAATCACAATACAGATTTTCTTCTCAAGTTTTCTGTATAAAGGAGAATGTTAAATTCAACATGCAAAGGTGTATATGAATGTAATTTACAGTATCGTTTATACTGAAGTACATAATGGAAGGAAGTGGATTTTTTTTCATCTGTCTTCTGAGTCTGAGTTGACGCAGCACACAGCGTTTTGGGTATGTGCAAACTTGAGGCGAATTCCCAATTTTAGTAGCAGCAGCAGATCTTTCGTCTGACTTTCCTAGCAGGAGTGTCACAGGCCTGACACATCTAACGCAATGCAACTAGTGGGGTTTTACCATGGGCAAGGCTTTAACTTGAGTTGAAGTAGTAAATATTTCTTCAGTTAAAAATGGAGGGTAAGAGATCTAATTACTGTTGAACGTGGGGATTTTTTGTGTGCAGAGTTATGAAGATGCTGAGAATTCTCTCTACTGTTTAGTCTCTGGAGTCATGCTGTGCTTTAGTCTTCACTCTAGTTCAGATTAATTGTATTTCAAAAAAAATCTTTCTCCTCTCTTTCTCTGCTAGCTGCAACAGTTAGGTGTACGTATATACTTCATTTTTAAGTGTCATCTTTTACTGTTAAACTGCTCCTGAGCAGGAGCCAGTTTGTGGTTTAGAGGGAAGCTGTCTTATAAGGTAGAACACTTAATGATATTTTAATTTTAGCTTGAGCCAGCAGAACTTGGTATATCATGTTCCAATGTGAATATAAAGAGAGCAGAAAAGGAAGGCAAACAGGCTCCTGTGTAAGCAGATTCTAGATCAAAAAATACTTAAAGAACACCCAGTAGAACACGTAATTTGAAAACATTTAGATAAAATCTTAAAAGTGTCAGAGAACTCATCACTCTGTAGTAATGATGGGAGCCCTTCTTTTCAAGTAACATTGTATGAAAACTTCATTTATGTTTTATGTGGTTGTTTCAGGTTTGAAATTGGACTATTAACTTGGAGTAATATGCTATTTCAGTACATAGTGTTTCTCTATAATAAATAAATAAAAATCACTGTTTTCTTTTAAATTGAAAGTTTTCTGTGACTATGTTTCTCTAAATAAATAAAAATCAGTTTTCTTTTAAATTGAAAGTTTTCTGTGACTAGAGTTTTTCCTCCCTCCCTTTGCATAATTTTCTTTTTTTTTCTGTATTTCTTTCTTATCTCTTTTTCCTGATCTCATTTTCTCTGCTTTTATCAGAACAATACCGAAAATCCATTAATATTGCTGAGGTTAATGCCACTATTGCTGAAATTGGCTGACTCCACTGTGAGTGTTGCTCACTGTGTGGTATGGTCCTGTGATTTGCAACGATAGCTTTAGCGTATTTTAAGGAAAACCCTTTCAGTTTCAGATTGTACTTCTTGAATATCCTTCAATTAGGGTTGGAAATGCGTGATTCTTTTATACATCTGCTGTTGTTTTTCGTAGGGTATATTCACACGAAAGGAAGGTAAGGTACCTCCTTGTGGGAGTTAACCACAGAGACCATCCGTATGTTTTTAAATGATAGAATAATGAGAGAAGCAGCACTACAAGGTGCATGTTTTTTATATTTATTCTGGTATGGTCCTGACTGTTAGTAATGTATAGAAAGCTTTTTTTCTAACAGCTCTTTGTTTTTTTCTAAGTTAAATATCTGAAAAAATGAGATGATTAACCATCTGGAGATCTCTATTTTTTAACTATAAATGCATCCTAGGATGAGGAATTTAGACAACTGACTTTGAGACATCTTTTGTTAGTCTAAACAAATCACATCCTTAGTTTGGTATTGTTAAGTTGGATTTTAACCAAACAGACAATTTGCAAACATTCATCTCTGTTAGAATCTAATTTGCAATATGGCATTTTTGTGTAATGAATGGGAAGTGTTCCAATAAAGCTATTGAAAAGTACTGTGCCTACTGAAGGGATTATTAAAAGTTTTTTATGCTAATTTTTTATTATGAAATATGACAATAGTGGAAGTATACTAAGAGTAGAATTTTATATGGTTTTGGTGGCAGAGTATTAATAAACATATTTGAAATATTTGGCTTTGTTTCTACTTCTAGCCTGAACACTCCACCAGGAACAAAAATTAAACTTTCAGGAATTGTGGAAGTGAGAAATGGATTCTTGCTGTTGGATGACAGTAATACAGCAGTTCTTGGAGGTGAAGTGGAGCATCTTATAGAAAAGTGGGAATTACAAAGGGTGAGGTAACACCACTGGAAATGCTTGTCTTACAGGATGCATGTCACATTTAATTACATCAAGCTTAGTGTGTTGACTGTAAACTTTCATATGATAAGCTTTTAGAACTTTACTGTCCCAATATTTTTAGGGATGCAGCCAAATATATGTAAGTAGGTCTTATATATAATGTTGCAAATGAAGAAATTATAAGTGATCTTTGCATGGAAACTGATTGCTTTCATAATGTGCAAGGATTGAAAACATAAATCAAATATATTAAACTTACTTTATTGCAGTCATGACTGTATGCTTTCCTAAAAATTGGAAATTCCTAAAATTTCCAATAACACAATTGTTATCAAATTGTGTTTGATAACAAAATATTATAGATTGTTGCCTTTTGCAATTACTGTCTGCAGAGTGTGTATTTTTGAGGCAAAAAAAAATCAGAAAGTTTATGGAAAGCATTGAAATTGGTAAGTATGAGTTCTATATTGCAGATTTCATCAGTGCTTCAGGTAAGTTTGTGAACAGAAAGACAAATTGGAGGCTTTAAAATCTTTTAACAAGCCATAAATACTTGTAAGCCCCTGTAATCCTTTTTAGCCTGGTTCCTGTCCCAACAGAACAAAAATTGCCAGAGGAAAACTTTTTCATGCGTTTTCTCACAAATGAGTGGAAATTCCTAGGGCAGGAAATTGTGACCATGCTAGAAACAGTCCCAAATACTTGCTGGATTGACTGTCACTACTACAGACCCACATGTCTCTATTTTTACATCCATGTCTCTGGAATATAGTAGCTGCTTATGAACACAATGATAATTTCTGTGTAAAGTACTTCCTTTATTGTTGCTAACGCTAAGTTTGGCACAGTTGTTTTTATTGCGGCTAGCCTTCTTTGGTGTTAATGTGCGTTTTATAGATTTGAGCTAACTGGGGCAAAATTTATTTGAACATTTGAGTTACACAGTGTCCATTTAAAAACATTCCTGGTGTTAAATGAAACTGCCCGTTTCATTAAAAAGAAAATTCTGGGACCAACAGCAGAAACTATCCCATTTTATCATTCTTATTCATATTTAGTATAAAGTCTTGAGAGTTCTCTCTCCAGTGAAAAAATACTAAGTTTTAAGCTTGATATGGAGGGAAGAGAGACACACAGAACTAACATGTTCTTAAGAATGCCAACTAATTGATAAGAGAAGGGCCAATAGAATCAGTTAGCTTTGCCGATGTTATCGACAGTCTGTTTTCATGTTTATTCTTACTGGACTTCAAGAAATAAATGTTGATCTATAAATATTAATTTGGTTTTGAGGTCAATGTCAAAAATTTGTAGAGTCATAGAATGGTTTGAGTTGGAAGGGACCTTAAAGCTTTATCATCAAGTTCCAACTCGACAACTCCTCTGGGCAAGATTTCTAGTGCTTTACCACCCTCAGAGTAAAGAATTTCTTCTTTACATCTAAATCTACTCTCTTTCAGTTTAAAGCCATTTCCCCTTGTCCTGTCACTATATACCCTTGTAAAAAGTCCCTCACCAGCTTTCTTGTAGGCCCCCGTTAGGTACTGGAATCTTGCTCTAAGGCCTCCCGGGAGCCTTCTCTTCTCCAGGCTGTGCAACTCCAATTCTCTCAGCCTGTCTTCAGAGGAGAGGTTGTCCAGCCCTCGAATCATCTTTGTGGCCCTCCTCTGGACTCACTCCAACAGGTCCGTGTCCTCCTGGTGTTGGGGACTCCAGAGTCGAACGCAGTACTCCAGGTGGGGTCTCACAAGAGCAGAGTAGAGAGGCAGAATTGCCTCCTTCGGCCTGCTGGCTGCACTTCTATGGATGCATCCCAGGATACGGTTGGCACTCTGGGATGGAAGTGCATGTTGCTGGCTCCTGTTGAGCTTCTCATCAGCCAACATCCCAAGTCCCTCTCCTCAGGGCTGCTCTCAATCCGTTTTCCACCCAGCCTGTGCTTGTGCTTGGGATTGCCCCAACCCATGTGCAGGATCTTGCACTTGACCTTATTGAACTTCACAAGGTTCTCACAGGCCCACCTCTCCAGCCTATCAAGGTCCCTCTGGATGGCATCCCTTCCCTCCACAAACACACCACACAGCTTGGCGTCATAACCAAGTAAACTTGCTGAGAGTGTACTCGATCCCACTGTCCATGTCACCAACAAAGATGTTAAATAGCACTGGCCCCAGTACTGGCCCCAGTACTGACCCCTGAGGAATGCCACTCGTCACTGGCCTCCACTTGGACAACGAGCCGTTGACCACAACTCTTTTGAGTGTGACCATCCAGCCAATTCCTTATCCACCGAGTCGTCCATCTGTCAAATCCATGTCTCTCCAATTTAGAGACAAGGATGTCATGTGGGACAGTATCAAATGCTTTGGACAAGTACAGGTATATGACGTCAGTTGGTCTTCCCTTATCCACCAATACTTTAACCCCATCATAGAAGTCTACCAAATTAGTCAGGCAGGATTTGTCCTTAGTGAAGCCATGTTGGCTGTCACCAATCACCTCCTTATTTTCTATGTGCCCTAGCATAGTCGCCAGGAGGATCTGCTCCATGATCTTGCCAGGCACAGAAGTGAGACTGACTGACTTGTAGTTTCCTGGGTCTTCTTTTTTCCCCTTTTTAAAAATGGGGGCTATATATCCCTTTTTCCAGTCAGTGTGAACTTCCCCAGACTGCCACGACTTCTCAGATATGATGGATAGTGGCTTGTCCATCCATAACTGGCTTCATCTGTCAGTTCCCTCAGGACCCGCAGATGCATCTCATTGGGTCCCATAGACATGTGCACCTTCAGGTTTCTTTGATGATTTCGAACCTGATTATCTACAGTGGGCGGTTCTTCATTCTTCCGGTCCTTACCTTTGCTTTCTCTGACTTGAGTGGTGTGGCTAGAGCTCTTGCCACTGAAGACTGAGGCAAAAATGTCATAGTGTGACATTCATCAGCCTCAGCCTTCTTCATATCCTGGGTAACCAGGTCTCCCATTTCCTTCCAGAAAGGGCCCACGTTTTCCCTAGTCCTCCTTTTATCACTGACATTTTCTTGTTGCCCTTGACATCCCTGGCCAGATTTAATTCTATCAGGACTTTAGCTTTCCTAATCTGATCTCTGGCTGCTTGGACAATTTCTCTGTTTTCCCGCCAGGCTACCTGTTCTTGCTTCCACCCTCTATAGGCTTCTCTAGTTTATCCAGAATCTCCTTGTTCATCCATGCAGGCCTCCTAGTGCTTCTGCTCGACTTCCTCTTTGTTGGGGTGCACTGCTCTTGAGCTTGGAGGAGGTGATCCTTGGATATTACCCAGCATTCTTGGGCCCCTCTTCCCAGGGCTTTATCCCATAGTACTCTACCAAGCAGATCCCTGAAAAGGCTGAAGTCTGCTCTCCTGAAATCCAGGGTGGTGAGCTTGCTGTGCTCCCTTCTCACCGCCCTGAGGATCTTGAACTCCTCCGTTTCATGGTCGCTGCTGCCAAGGCTGCCCTTGAGCGTCACGTTCCCCACCAGTCCCTCCTTGTTGGTGAGAACAAGGTCCAGCAAAGCACCTCTCCTCATAGGTTGTTCTGTCACTTGGAGAAGGAAGTTACCACCAACACATTCTAGGAGCCTCCTGGATTGTTTATGCCCTGCTGTGTTGTGCTTCCAACAGATATCAGGGTGGTTGAAGTCCCCCATGAGGATCAGGGCTCGGGAATATGAGAGCTGCTTCTATCTGTCTATAGAGGGCCTCATCTGCTTGGTCTTCCTGGTCAGGAGGGCTGTAGCAGACCCCTACTATAATGTAACAATAACTCAGAACATGTTCTGTATTCAAGAAATCAAACCATTTAATAACCATTGACATGCTGCTGACTACAATGACTTTCAGCACTTGTTGTTAGCCAGTTCTAAATATGTTTAAAAGAGAGGTAACTAAGTTTTCATTGATTTACTCTGGTGAGATAAAGTATAGAAAGTTAACTACTGCCTTTTGCTATCCGCTCAGTTCTCTTGTTCCATCTTGTATGTTTCTTTTTCTCACTGACCAACTCACAGCACATGATCAAGGTTCCCAGCATAAGTGTGGCCATGTGTAGAAAAGCCGTGGGTGAGAAGAAATCAGTTTGGACAGGTGAACTATGACCACTGGAAATCATAGTTTCAGTTCTATATCCAGACTGACAGCTAGACAAATAGCGCTCAAACGAGTCTATGGAAGCCAGATGCTGCTTTGATAGCAGTTTCCTCGTGAACTCAATGTTTCTGTCCTGTTCAGAAAGCTTTACAGAAGAGGACGGTTGAAAAATAAGCAAGATTGTCAACTCTCAAAGATATTTGAGTGAGGACATTGCCACTCCTTGTCTAATCTTGCCATCAAAGCTTGCTTGAATTGCTGAACTGTGTTTGCATAAAATGACAAAAGACTTCTATTTCTATGACTATTTCAAATTACTTGCTTTGAAGCCAGTTTCTTTTCTTCTCTCCACTACAATGTCTGAGAAGTGTTAATTTGGCTTCTTGTGTAGATGATGAAATGACTTTCTTGTATACTTACTTAAAAAGTTAGTGCTATTAAGTCAAATAATACTACCAAACTTTAGGATAAAAGTTGTTTTTTCAGTGTTAAATTATTTCTGTTGCATGTGTCTGTCAGCTTCTAGTTGCGTTACCGTTTTGTTCCATTCAGAATGATGTTTGAAATTGCTTTTAGGAGGAATCACGTTTTAGTAATTGAAGACTCACACTATGAATATCGTGTATGTGGAGTGAATGCCGTATTACCACACTGCATGTATAGTTCATGTGGAATAAATGTGGTGCTCTTTGTAGCTTTCGTTTTTATCACATGATAATTCTTGCCTAGAAATTTCAGAGTAGTTTAAGTGTCGCTGTTTAAGTGATAGTTAAATAAGTAATGAGTAAATGACAATGTTATTGTGTGATCTTTTTTCTAGACTATTTGAAAATATAAGGTAATGGACTTGTTTAGGTGAGATAATACAGTTCCAAATATTGCTTTGTAGTGTTCCCAGTGTTCTGGTGATGACTGGTGTTTTAGTCGGTGAGGATTAGTATCTGCGAGGTAATTGCTGGTACCCTTCTTATGAAGGAATAGTACTTTGTATTGCTATTAATGAAAATATCAGACTATCTGTAAGTGAAGGCTGAAGCAAATTTTGCTGAGATGATTGGTGACCCTCATAGTTTTAAAACATGGAATCTGTCAAATTATCAATTATTTAAAAGTAAAGTTCTCTAGTATACTTAATGATTCTTCTGTTTTGGTGAAGGTGAGGCTAAATATTGAGGTTATCTGATGAGAAAAGGGAGTAGTTTTGTCTCTACTTGTCTTGATTTCAGCTGAGACAGAGTTAGTTTTCCTTTTAGTAGCTAGAAGGGTTCTGTGTTTTGGATTTAGTCTGAAATTGGTTAAAAGAAGATTGTTGATAGTGCACTGATGTTTATTGTTGGTGCTGAGACCTGAAGGACCTTTCAGCTTCCCATGTTTTGCCAGTGTGCAGGAGCACAACAGGCTATGGGGGACCATAGCTGGGACAAAGAGCCCACAACTCCTTGTTTACAATTTGAGCTTAGATTTAGGATTAGGGCCAAATTGGCCAATGGAATATTTCATATGCAGTGTCATGCTCAGTCTGCTTCCCTTTTCTCCTTTAATTCTCTTCCTCATTCCTCAGGGGTGGGAGGAGAGTGAGTGAGTGGCTGTGTGGTGTTTACTTGCCAGCAGGATTAAACCATGACACTATTTCAAAATTCATATTAGAAATAAGTATGAGGAGATAATAGTGTATATTATCTAGGAGTTCAGTCTCTTTGTTTCTTAAGAGATTCCCTAGAAACTTTTTTTTTAATGTCACAAGCCAAATACAGCAGAAAGGGTAAAATAAGCACGCTAGATGTACTAATAACGACATTTATTCTAAATGGTAGTTACTGCTCTGCTACAAGCAAATGTAGTTGTAATTTAAAAAATGCTGTTCTTGTTGCCAGTTTGCTTTTTGTTTGGTGCAAAGTGGAATTCAATTTCCAAAGCAGTTGTTCTCACTTCTCAGCAGACCGTGCTACTTGAGAGGAAAGTGTCAAGGCTGTTACTTACCGTTAGACAGAGTTCTTTCATTCTGGAAATCAATTTTATGCAATGAATCGTTATGATCCAAACCCCATGTAGCTAAATGTTTTTAAATACGCAGTCAGTTTTTAAGAGCTTTTTTGCTATTTGCCAAATTACGTGTTTGAGCAGTAGCTTGGAGCAGTCTTTTTCTTGTATGTGTTTCCTTGATTTTGATTTAGGAAAAAAAAAAAAAGTGTGACCTTAAAATAAACATGTTCTTCCTTATTATAGGACATGAAAAATTAACTGTGATCAAATGCTTGAGTTCTTAGGCTATCATATAAATACTTTTATTATAATTTGATTCAGTGCTGGAGTTCATTCCAGAATTGCCTACATTTCGCTAAATACAAACAAAGAGTGTAGGGATTATTGTACCTAGAGTGCCTACCCTAGGGAAGTGGAGTGTCTTGGCCATGAAATGACTGTTGTACTGTGCTGCTTCAGTTAATAGATATGGGAAGGTATTAGCACGCTACAGTGATCGTCCCTTGGTTAGCTCACAATTCTAAGGCAGCACTTTAAATGAACTGATTGAAACTAAAGCTGAAAAATTTTATGGTTTCTGCACTTCTTAGTGCTTTGTTTCGAACAATTTATTGAATATTTTATCAAGTTATTTTTCTCTAAGCCATGAGGAAAAGGATTTTTAATTATTTTTTTCCTCACCCTTGAAAGAAATTAATAACCATAAGTGATTTAGAATATAGTCTTTTGTTCCTGAATGAAAGTACTTAACTTGAAAAGTGTGGACCGAAAGTTTTGATGTGGGTATTAGTTAACCAAATTAATATCTTACATATTTTAAGAAATTCTCTGATAGTATAATGGCTTAAAGCAAATTCATGTTTATACTACAGTTCTCACATGATGGGATTAAATTGTTACAGCAGGTTAATAAATACATAGGTAAACGTCATACACAGACTTTTTCTGCCAATGGGGAGTAGTAAATGATGTACGTAATCATGCGTGGCTGTCCCATTGGGAAAAAAGGGACAATAAGAAATGAAGGTGATAAAACAGATGTTCAGAAATACAGTTTTGAAGCATTTTAACAGCATTAAGGACCTGTTGTTCCTTTTTCTATTTCTGAAACCAAATATTTCTGTGTAATACGAAATAATTAACACATAACCAAATGTTGATTCCAGTAAATTTCATTCTCTTGCAGATTGCTGCTATTGTCACAACTTGTAAAGAAAAAGTGTATCAACTATGAACAGATATTTTAATGCAATGTTCTACAAATCCATCTTTTTACTCTTGTTGGTGGCTAGTGATTTGTATTATTTGAGAATGCTTTGGCTTCAGGCCTACGTCACTGATTGCCTGATTGTGGCTAAGAGTTTTGAGCACTTCTATTCTGTAAATATTAGGTATCAATAATTATGCTTATTGTTATGATTTTTGCTATCCAAAGATCTGCTGATTAAATTAGCATATGTACTGTACTTTTCATAAGGCCATAGGTTAAATTTCCTCATGACACAGTATTTGGTTTCCAACAGTGACAAAAATAGATGTTGTTTAGGAAGAACATACAGCCTGAGCCCTTATACTGCCTTGGCCTCCGGAATTGTAATATGTTGTATCAGGGGATTAAGTCTTGAATAATCCTTTCAATATTTGCTTATACATGTGTTCGTGAATTTCACGGAATGGTTGAGAAGGTGCCTTTGGAGGTCATTTTGTTCCAGTCTCCCTGCTCAAACAGGGTCACCTAGAACCAGTTGCCCAGGACAGTCTCCAGGCAGCTTTTGAATATCTCTAAATATGGAGATCCGCAGCCTCGCTGGGTAACCTGTGCCCGTGTTTGGTCACCGTCACAGTATAAAATTATTTTCTAAACATAGAATAATAAAATGGTTTGAGTTGGAAGGGACCTTAAAGATCATCAAGTTCCAACTCCCTTGCAATGGACAGGACACCTTCCCCTAGATCAGGTTGCTCAAAGCCTCATCCAACCTGGCCTTGAACACTTCCAAGGATGGGGCATCTACAACTTCTCTGGGCAACCTGTTCCAATGCCTCACCACCATCAGAGTGAAAAATTTCTTCCTTATATCTAATCTAAATCTTCCCTCTTTCAGTTTAAATCCATTGCCTCTTGTCCTATCACTACATGCCCTTGTAAAAAGTCCCTCTCCGGCTTTCCTGTAGGCCCCCTTTAAGTACTGGAAGGCTGCTATATGATCACGCCAGAGCCTTCTCTTCTCCAGGCTGAACAGCCCCAACTCTCTCAGCCTGTCTTCATAGCAGAGGTGCTCCAGCCCTCGAATCATCTTTGCGGCCCTCCTCTGGACTCACTCCAGTAGCTCCATGTCCTTGTGTTGGGAACTCCAGAGCTGAACACAGTATTCTAGGTGGGGTCTCACAAGAGCAGAGTAGAGGGGCAGAATCACTTCCCTCGACCTGCTGGCCACACTTCTTTTGATGCAGCCCAGGATACGGTTGGCTTTCTGGGCTGCCAGTGCACATTGCCGGCTCATGTTGAGCTTCTCATCCACCAGCACTCCCAAGTCTTTTTCCTTAGGGCTGCTCTCAATCCATCCTCCACCCAGCCTGTACTTGTGCTTGGGATTGCCCCGACCCATGTGCAGGACCTTGCACTTGGCCTTGTTGAACTTCAGGAGGTTCTCACAGGCCCACCTGTCAAGCCTTTCAAGGTCCCTCTGGATGACATCCCTTCCCTCCAGTGTGTCCACAACACCATTCAACTTGGTGTGGTACTGGAAGGCTGTTCTAAGGTCTTCCTGGAGCCTTCTCTTCTCAAGAAGGCCAAACAATGCCAACTCTCAGACTGTCTTCAGAGGAGAGGTCCTCCAGCCCTCAGATTATCTTTTCGTCTCTCCTCTGGACTTGCTCCAACATGTCCATGTCATTATGTTGGAGTCCCCAGACACGAATGCAATATTCCAGGTGGAGTTTCATTAGAGCAGAGTAGATGGACAGAATCGCCTCCTTTGGCCTGCTGGCTGTTCTTCTTTAGATGCAGCCCAGGATACGGTTGGCTTTCTGGGCTGCACGCGCACATTGCCAGCTCTTGTTGAGCTTCTCATCAACCAACACCTCCAAACCGTTCTCCTCAGGGCTACTCTCAATTCATTCTTCACCCAGCGTATATTTGTGCTTGGGATTGCCCTGACCCACGTGCAGGACCTTGCACGTGGACTTGTTGAATTTCTTGAGGTTCGCACAGGTCCATCTCTCAAATCTGTCAAGGCCCCTTGGCATAATGTTTAGAGGGAGTCTCCTGTGTTTCAGTTTGTGCCCATTGCCTCTGGTCATGTCATTTGGCACCACTGAAAGAGCCTGACTCCATCTCCTTTACAGCCCCTCTTAAGGTATTTGTATAGATTGGTAAGATCCCCCTGAACTCACCTCCTGTAGGCTGAATTTGTCCAATCTCCTCTTAGACGTGGTGAAACTGGATGCCTTTACAGCCTCTACTGGCAGGAAGTTCACTGGACAATACGTAAAGAAACATCTGCCTATTTGTGTGCTGCTTTGTTCTGTTAGTGTAGATTCTGATATATAACTGAATCTTCTGCGTTTGCTGTGTGTGTTGCCTTCATGATTCTGCAAATTTTAATTTTCTTCTTCTCCTTGGCCCTCATCCAATCTTCTCCTTAAGTTAAGTGCCCCAGGATTTTAAGTATAGTATTATTTTTTATGCTTAACATTTTTATCTTGTGAGTTTCATGTACTTTCTGAAATAGACATTTATCATAGAATCTGTTATTTGTTTGCAATTTATGAATCACAATTTTCTTTTACAGAGTTTAGCAAAACACAATCGGAGTAACATTGGAACCGAAGGTGGCCCTCCCCCTTTTTTACCTTTTGGGCAGGTATAGTATACCTCTCTTTGTCATTTCGTAAAAAAACCCTGTATCATGGCATCTCGTGGACCTCATTCCAGTTAGATAAAAGCTATTAAAACACCTTAGATCGTGATGACTTGGATCTAAAAAATGTGCTTGTTTTAAAAAAATTGTGTTGATCCTGTTGCTTTGTTGTGCCGCTTTATATTTAACACTTTTCCTTTCAATTTGAAACTTAAAAGTTAATTTGGTATATGAGGCCTTTGATTCTTCCTGTTAGATCTTGCATTCCCTTCTTAAATGACGAAGCTATTTGCAATAATCATACTAGTTACATCATGGATTAAGCTTAAAAAGTAAAAATCATTCTTTTTGACCTTTTTGGTGGACCAGAGGCATGTGGTTTTAGCAAAGACATCTATATGTCCTAGGTGTTCGTTTTTGCAATCGTTTTCTTTATCTAAAGTTGTGCTACTCTAATGGAATAATACTTCTTTTTTTTTTTTCAAATTATAGTAGGTGGAAGAGTTAATTAAAACTTTCTTTTGCTTTTTCAGAAATGTGCGTCTCATGTGCAAGTGGATAGCAGAGAGCTCGATCGCAGAAAGACTCTGCAGATGACAAATACTGTAAAACCTGTTGCGGACAATGATGAATTTGAAAAGCAGAGAACAGCTGCCATTGCAGAAGTAGCAAAAAGCAAGGAGGTTAGAATGCATGTGTTGCAGCATTTTACTTACTGTGGTTTATATCTTCTTGTTTTAAGTATTTCTCATTTAAATGACAAATGCTTTTTTTGATGTTTGCCTGCTTTTTAATTCTACTCATGTATCTTTAAAAAGATGAATCAAACACAGAAAGTCCTTTTGGATTGATGAGTATGTTCTTGTTTTAAGAAAGCTAATAAATGTATCTTAATGTTTTATTTTAGATATGATTTTGATTTGATACCACGATGAAAAATGTGGGTTTTATGATTTAGCTAATGAGATTTAAATAGTAAATACAGGTCATCAATTTTCATATGCTTTTTTCAGTTCTCAAAAACCCATGATTCCCTGTGTTCAGTATGAAAGAATAGCTAGGAAATCTAGTTCTAAGGTGTCAGGTTTTTATGTCCTTCCTTGATTTTCCTTTTTAGTGTATTTTTTCCAATTTGCTCAGTAAGTTACAAAAGCTAGAATTATATACCATTTTTACAGCCTCATTTGGGCATAGGGGAAAAAACAGAAGTCCTTCCTAATACATTAATCTCTTTTCTGTGTGTAAATTAGTGCTTTATTTGTTGATGCAAAGCATAATCATAAAAAATACAGCTGCATCGAATTTATTGCACTTTTTCTACTAGCTAAATATTAAGGCTCATTTTCATAAGTTCTGTTTACTGAAATTTTATTTTTGTGCTTATCTAAAGACCAAGACGTTTGGAGGAGGTGGTGGTAGTAGCAGGAGTAATCTCAGTGTGAGTGCTGGAGGGAATCGAAACAGAGAACTGTTCCAGAAAGAGAAGATAACAAAACCTGAGGGAAAGAACGAAGGTGTCTACCGAGAACTGGTAAGGTGGAAGATTTAAATGGAACCTTAAATGTGTAATATTAAAACCCAAAAAAACAAATATAACAAAAATAAAACCAAAAGACCCTGAGGAATAAGGACTTTCCTTTCAATTTATTTTGAAATCTGTTTAGTATACTTAGGATACTTTTGTACCTTACTGAGATAGATAGGAGTTTCAATGTGATTTTTGAAAAAGAAAAAAAATTAATGTCATTTTATTCATTAAAATTTAAAAACAAGTCCTCACAAGTAGTAGTATATGTGGTATAGGACACTGTGGCATAGTTTTATTTTCTTGCTTAAATAAGCTTAAGGGTTTTGCGTGTTAACATTTTTTAATTCATTTTAGACAGGAAGACTTTCATCCTTCCATTTCCACATATCACGTAGTATTTTAACGTAGCTTTTCTTTGGAATTAATTTAATATTTATTTTAAGAATCTGTTTTGAACCATTTATTTGACATTGGGAAAACTAAGTGATACTCTTTTGTTTAAAATAACTAAGTAGAAATGCTATTGTTGTGACATGGAAATGTCATGCTTACATGACCACAAGTAATATTTCATTTTGAGTGAGGTGAGTTACCATTGGAGAATCTGAACTGTACTCCCTAATCCAAAACATTACCTTTCAAAGTATTTCATAAATTTGTACCTCCTGAGAAGTGCTCTTCAGGATCACCACATTGAATTAAGTGGGTATAAGATGAGCAGTCATTGAAGTTTCTGTTTTGATTACTTTAGCAATCTGAAAGTTTATGACGGAGGAAGTATTTCTTATCAAGAACAACTCCAGAGAGGAATTTCCAAGTACGCAATAACAATTAATGATTCTGATTTGAGTGATGAAAGCAGACTGAAAGAGACATTGCAACAATGTAGTAACTCAGTTAACTGGTATTAAAATATTGTTTATAAGTATCATATTTATTGTTGAATATTTTTCACCTTATTTACTTTGATAAAAGGTTTAACAATCAGAAGAAAAGACATTTAGGAACAGTAACTGTAGGATATGGTTTTGTTTGTATAGCGTGTGTTGTCACCTGGAGGCAAGGAATGCCTCCAGCAGTGCTGCCTTCAGCACCATGCTCAGAAATGTCGGTATAGAATTGTAGAAACATGGACTGAAAGGAATTTGAGAGGTCGTTTAGTCATCCCTCTGCCCCGTGTAGCACCAGTGGTACATCTTGTCATTCTTGGCAACTGTCTCTCGACCTAAATACACTTCAAAAAAAGAACGAAACAAACACACATAAATGCCAACAAAAGAAAATAAGCACCAGATTTAAATTGGATAATTGTTTAAAGTATTCCATTTTCTATTTTTATTGTGAACTGCAAGAAATTTGTCTTACATTGCACTATAAAGTGGCAGTACTTCCAACTTACTGAAACTTAATATTTTGTCATTTACATATCTAGATGCTGTTTAGAAACATATATGAACCCACTAAGCCTATATAGAAAGCCTTCTTTGGTTATAAATAGTGATTTTTACATCTTCAAGCAATGGACAACAGATTTGTTTTGTTGTTTTAGAACTGTGATATCAAGTAGGTTTGATTGTTGACTTTCATATATATTATTAACTTGTGTGTCTATTTAGAAATGGTTAAAGGTTTTTAATCCATGTGATTACCTTCCAAGAAACCTGAAGCACTGTACTTTTTCCTTACAAAATAAGAAACGAAGTAGTCATCCTTTTTCTTCATAGACAGACAACAGATTGCAGAGGTCAATCATCTTCCTCTCTTAATAGTCTTTATGTCTTTTCAGTCGTGTGTATGAGATTCAGGATTTGTGCTGTGTAAATGAAGTTGAAGGGAGAGCTTTTGACATCCAGATATACTTAAGATACTACCTCCTTTCTCAAAGTCTTTGTATCTGGAAAATTGCCTTTCCATTGGGTCTCAAACTGTGACCTATCAAAGATTTTTTTTTTTTTTTTCCTTATCCATAGCTGAGAGTACAGGTGCTGCATATATGAGCCAGCAGTGTGCCCAGGTGGCCAAAAAGGCCAATGGGATACTGGCGTGTATCAAGAATAGTGTGACCAGCAGGAGCAGGGAAGTGATCCTGCCCCTGTACTCGGCACTGGTGAGGCCGCACCTGGAATATTGTGTCCAGTTTTGGGCCCCTCGCTTTAAGAGAGATATTGAGCTCCTGGAGCGGGTCCAAAGAAGGGCGACTAAACTGGTCAAGGGGCTGGAAAATAAAACTTATGAGGAGCGGCTGAGGGAGTTGGGGCTGTTTAGCCTGGAGAAGAGGAGGCTGAGGGGAGACCTGATTACAGCCTACAAATACTTGAGAAAAGATGGTGGGAAGGTAGGAGAAGGGCTCTTTACATTAGTGTTGGGTGATAGAACAAGAGGAAATGGGTATAAGCTTAGTCAGGGGAGATTCAGGTTGGATGTTAGGAAGTATTTCTTCTCTGAAAGGGTTGTCAGCCACTGGAATAGTCTGCCCAGGGAGGTGATTGAGTCCCCATCCCTGGATGTGTTTAAGAATAGGGTGGATGATCTACTTAGGGATATGGTTTAATGGGGATTAGGGATGGTTGGACTCGATGATCTCTAAGGTCTTTTCCAACCTAGAAATCTATGAATCTATGAATCTATATAGGTCTTCATTTCCTGCTGGTCTTTGAACATAGCTGTCAAGTGCACAGAATTTCTGCCGTTGAAAGGAGATGATGCAGCAGTAACGGCTAGAAGTTCTCTTCTCATACAAAGCAGCTAATTACCTACAAAGGGGAGAAGAATGAAGCAGAATTGCTGAAGAAGCATTTATCTCTGTTGGACCCTTGTTGCCATGCAGAAGAATCTAGGAGAACGGCCCAAAGGAGAAACTGTTACATTCTGTTATTAAAAATAAGACATTTTTTAGGCAACTGGAAGTCAAACTCAAGTGGAATGATGACTCCCTGTAGACACTGACGTTGTGTTTCTGCCCCATTGGTCTTCAAAGACCTTTTAAATTGCTACTCCTTTACTTAGTCTTTGAACATTTAATTTAAGAGTGTTGTTGAGTTTAGCAATGAAGGCAGCTACCTGAAAGCATGTTGGAGTTGTAGCCAAGCGCTGCAAAGTCATGACTTGCTCATTACAGTGATTTTTGCATAACTAAGCATAGTTATGAAAGTTATTTGAGTTGTTGTATCATCTGGCTTGCTATATTAAGATATCTCTGTATTGAGACAGCAACTACAAACATTAATTTTGTCTCTGCTCCCAAAAGGAGACCTGCTCATACCTGTTGTCGCAGAGCAAAGTGTGTAGTTGGAGTTAAGACAAAAGTGAATATATTAAAACATCAGAAGAAATGAGGAGTGGAGAAATTACATCATAAGACTGTGGAAGACAGGGGAGAGGAAGGATTAAATGTTATTTGTCATACAACTCTCATACAGTTGTAATTGAAATAATTCTTGCAATAGAAGTTCATGTTCTTTTAAGCAGTGAGAAAAAGGAGGAGTTGTGTGTCTTAGAGGTTAGATTTGGTTGGGTATGGGATAAGGAAGGACAGAGGGCCTAGTTCCATTTCATAGTTAGTGCGTGTAGATCTGTCCGCGCTGGAAGAGGCAGTTCTCACTTGAGTGCTTTAAAGCGCAGTGCAGATGCAAGGTTATTTTCCGTAACTAATGCTCTGTGATTCCTGCGTTGCCTTTTTGTCATCATGCTCTAGACAGTTTAGAATAAGAAAGCCTGTATTTCTGTGGAAGTAAATTGTTTCTATTTTTTCCACTTTCTTCTACAGAACCTTTAGCAATTATATTTTCTCTGTATTTAAAGAAGTGTGTCACTGGGTTTTGTATTGTCAGTAAAAGTTGTGAAAGGATTCAAACAAGAACAAATGGCTAGTTTTTATACCGGTGTTACTTTGAGAGATTCCTTTTAGTTTTCATATCAGAGAAAGTATATTACAATCTATCATAGTATTGCAGTGTACAGCAAAGGAGGGGGTAGACTAGGGGAATTTGTGCTTGAAATCACATAATATTAGAACTGAAAGCTAATAAATCAAAAATAATCATCATAATATTAAAAAAAACCTTGGACCTAAGAGAGAGTGTATGTGAAGATTTTATATAAAACTGAAATATTTATCATCAATGAAATATGAAGGTGCTTCATTTAAAAATTAATGAAAAATTAAAGTGAAATCTAGTGGTTTTGTAGAGTCTGTTGTATCTTACGATTAGTTCTTGTGTACCTTTTATTTCAGGTTGATGAAAAGGCTCTAAAACACATAACAGAGATGGGTTTCAGCAAAGAAGCAGCAAGACAGGCACTTATGGATAACAGTAACAGCCTAGAGGCAGCATTAAATTTTCTTCTGAACAGCAGTAAACAGAAACCCATTCAGGGACCACCACCTAGAGGTATAACTTGCAAAGAAATGCTTTAAACCAGTGTTTACAAGCAAAGGAATTTGTGTATGATGGGTTATTAATGTAGTTATAGAAGGGCATAGCTGCATGGTTTTTTCTCTGCAAGTTAGAATGCATTGCAAACCTGAAAGCAAATACTCAGAAAAGACTTCTGTGTATTGTATTCCTGCCAAAATCTTTGAAGTCACAGATTTGAATATCCTTAAATTTAGATTAAAGATCTGTATTTGTTTTGTCCATGATAGAATTTTTTAAAGATAGAAAATACCCAAATTTTATAAATCAAATGTAACTTTAAAAAAAAAAAGTGTGTACACTTTTTTTTAATTATTCCCCATTCACAAATAACTTTTGATGTTTACAGGTAAAGGGAAGGGCCGAGGCCGAGTAAGACCTGAAGATGAAGAAGAGCTAGGAAATGCCAGACCATCTGCACCAAGCACACTGTTTGATTTCTTGGAATCCAAAATGGGTACTCTAACAGTAGAGGGTAAGTTATTGAAATTAATGTATCTAGAACCTATATTGGGCGGTGTTGATAGAATTCTTTTTCCTAACTTTGTCACCTAAAAAGTGTTTCCTAGAACTTCCTCTGCAGTTAGCCATAAAAAAAACCCAAGAAGTGCTAGAGAGCTATTCCTCTCCTTTGAAGAGAGGTCAAATAAATTGCACTGCGATGCTTTGTACTTCTGTCTTGATTATAGAAGAGCTTAGGGTGTTTGTTTCAGGCTTAGATGTCCAAAAGTCAGTAGTTTTGAACTAAAGTGACATAAATCCCAGTTTGTTAATCTAATTTGATAAAGGCTTTTGCAACTTAAATGGACTTCCACGTTGTTCAGAAGTAAAGAAAAAAGCCATAACTGCAGTCCTCCTTCTTCAGTTTATAAATGGCATGTTCTGCGTGCTGCCCAGTCAAGAGTTTAGTAATTGCAGTAAACTTAGTTGGTTTTGTTTTCCCCCTATCTGGAGGGGGGAAAAAAAAAATCTTTGTTGTAAAATATTAAACAACTATTTTATAATGGTTTTCCTGTTTAATAACTCTAAGGACTGACAGAAGGGTAGGATTTTAGAAAGACAGAAGCCAAATAATCCCTCAGATTTAATGCAAAAGATCTTTTTCTTTACTGTCCTTTTAGTTACTTTTCTTTCTTAAGAAGCCATACAAGAATGTAATCTATCCATCAGGGTGTCTGTTTAGGTCTAAATCTTTCAGTACTTTGGAAACTTTAAGAGACAGATGCATTAAAAGAAAAAAGAGGAAACTCCATACATCCTGAGGTCTCTAGAGGTTGCTGTGATATTGAAAGTAAGACTCATGGTAAGCTGAGTAATAAACGGAGATCATTTTTCTTTTGGGTATGGCCTTGGAGGTGTTTCAGCGACCAACATAAAGTGAAAATATCTGCTTCCGTTATTTAACATGAAGGTTTTGTGATGGAGTTGAAATTTTTTTTCTCCCTATAAGATGACAATTTTCATAAAGGGTGAAAAAAAGGTCATATTAGTTTATATGAATTGATTGATATTTTGGAATTTTCTAAGGAATGAGAGCATTTAAGAAGTGACTGCACTTTAATTATGTAATTACTTGCTTTTAAATTAAGTTCCAAAATAGTCTTTGTAGACTGTTAATAATTAATTCTTGCTTTGTGTATTTTCACTGGATTTGAGATTTTTTTTTTAAAAAAAGGTAATTGAAAAAGTGGAAAACAAACTTGTAGTAAATGAAAGTGAACAGGTTGACGTTAGGAAAGGTATGACTACTATAATATCAGTAGGCACCTGCACCTGAAATACAGAGCAATGGGGATGTTCTACTTGTTTAGTAGAGTGAGAGATCTCTTCTTGAATGTATTATTTTTGTTTGTAGCTTATATGTATTAAAAATGTGTAAATATTTGTCCTTTTTGCTATAGGAGTAAATTTAAGGTTAGTTGCGATTGAGAGTCATTATTGAACTGGAAATGAAAACATGAAGCCTTGTAGACTGTCAGTGCATCAAAGCCTCAGTTTTCTGTGAGAATTATTAGGACTATCTGCTTTCCATTAAATGCATGGCATATTTTTTTCAAGAGTTACTTTTGTTAGATCTTCTGGAGCTTTGCAGCTGCGCGTTTACAGTTGCTACTTGCATAAATAGCATTTTGCATTGATGTGTTCAAATTTCTTTTTGAAGCCTGTAGCAACTAAAAGTCAGCATATTCAGGTGGAAGGAAACACAGAAATTCAGTTCTTGGAGATGTACAGAGCATGCCTTTATCCAAGAAAGAGGAAGCAGCAGCAAAGAAAAAGGACACATGTTTTATCATAGAAGACTTACCTCAACAGATGGGCTAAGGAGTTAGTGAACCTGTCAGCAAACCCGGGAGTCTTGTTGCAGCTGGTTGAATTAGATGCACTGTGAGCCGTTTTAGGTGTCACTAAACATTTTTATGATGTCCTAAGGTTTAACTATGAACAGAAAGGCATTTGCTCATAAATATGATAGCTTATAGTTCTTTTGATAGCAAATACTGTGTTGTTGCTGTATCTTGGCTGAGTTTCATTGCAACATTGTCTTTTTTGGCCTGCAAAACAAGTGATTTTAAATAGCTAAATATTGGTTTATGTTTTAGTTGGGTGTAGGTCTTACTAAAACAGCTTGTAGAAAGTGAACAAAGAAGTTACAATAGAGTTCCTATTATGTTTTTTCTAGTTTGTATGTGGTGAGTAGCCAGAAGTTTATGGTTTTCTTAATTGTAGATCGAACGTTTATATCATAAGTCTTCACTGTTTTTGTCAGAAATATAAAATAATTTAAAGAAAATACCTTTCAAATACACAAGCATTCTGCATTAGCTGATGTAATTTGTAAACTGTTCAGGTAATGAATATAATCACATTTTCAAAAGCATGTGT